TGTAACATTGAATAGAATATTGTTTTTATTTTATTCTATAGTCGAGGACGTGTTATCAATAGTTTATTTGAAGCTAATAGACTCGAATATAACGATGTTAAGCGTACTGGAAGTGGAGAAATCGTTGTTTCTTATGCTTTTAATAATAGTGTTAACTCTAATATCGTCAAACCTAGCACACAAAATATTATTCTTTATGCAGATCCGAGTGGAAGTTTAAATAATGTATTCGACTGGCAAATTTACTACCAAAAACGTGTTAAAGCAATAGAAAGTAACCTGATTTTTAATTGGGGCAATCAACAGTATAAGGGATTGAGTGCATTTCAGTTGGCAACCAAACAAGAGCTGCATGCTACGGTAATTATGGCAAAACGTAGACGTAAATAAAAAAAGTAAAATGTCGTTTGATATTTTTACCATTGAACTATTTCGAATAGGAATAAGACAGTTTTTAATGCTTTGGCTGTTTTTGATTTTGCAATTCAATATCACAAATGTGTGTGTGCATTCATCAACAACTCATTTTCTTCATAATATTTGCTAAAATCATTTTTTTAATGAATAAATATCTTTTTTAAAATAAACATCCTTTAAATATATTAATTCTATACTTTGTATAACGGTTCCAGATAGGCCATTACTGAAAGAAATATTGTAACGGAGTATTGTTCTCTTCTGTTACTCAATAGTATAAGTAGATGTGTCCAGTGAACTTTCCTGTTAGCAGAACAATTAGGCAACTTCAAGTGTCATTTGAAAGTAAAGAGATAGAAAACTATATTTTTTGTGACCGTGGTGTAGATAACTATGATTGTAGATCAGACACCGTATTCATACTTACAACCACATATAGAAAGAGTTATTTTACACGTGATATAGATTCAGAGTGGTTACAAACATCTTTTAGGAGAAAATTGAAAAAAGTTCAATATCATACAAACTGTATTCAATGGATGTTAAAAATACAAACATCATGATCACCATGTTTTGTACCTTGTAGTAATACTGTATTCATTTTTGTTAAACGACGAAATATAACAAATCTTAATTTATTATAAATATTTCATTTGTTTTTATATAAAAAAACACCAATACATTATGTTCTAGTCAATTTTTTGTGAAATAGAATTCGTGTTGTATATAATCGATAAATTATTATCATACTTTAGTTTAGTTAAGAATTTATAGAAGTATAATAAATAAATCATTCTAAATTAATCATAACTTTTCTACGACAATTCTTATTTCATAGGAATAATTAATCACTAAATATAGTGAATTCTATTTTAGCTAATCAATAATAAAATAAATTTAATACATCAAATATTATTGTTTTGGTTCTCTTTTTTCTGATTTTTTGTTTGTTAGATAAGTATCTATTGAAAGTATAATCGCTGATGTAACAATAAATGAAGCTCCGATATAAAACATCCAAGATCTGGTGAGTCGAAAAAATATATATTGTAATAAACAACCATAAACTATATCAAGTGTACCAAGCATAGACAATAATTGAACATTTTCTCTTTTTAATGCTTTAGCATAAAATGTATTTGTTATTAAATAGCAGCACCCAAGAACAATACCAACTGTAAACATCCATTTCCATGGATATGGATCTGTTTGCCAAAATCTTCGAACAATACTATAAATCAATGCGACAACTAAAGCAAATGCTGTGAATTGAAAATTCATCACAGAATATGGTTGTTTCTTTTTAACCAATTGTTTTCTCGCAACCATTTGCGTCGCTTTTGTTAATGATGATATAAAAGCGAAAAGAATACCTAAATAATAATAGGATGAGCTGATTTCTGTAGAAGATATTATTGTAGTTGTAGATATTGTTCTGTTCATAGATAATGTTATATTTGTAGATAATGTTGATTGATCAAATAAACTACTTAACAATTTAATTAAAGATTGAGGCTTTGTAGCAAGTATTAATCCAACTATTGTTAATATTAATGCAATAGCATTCACAACCTTAAAATGTTCTTTAAAAAATATAACAGATAATATTGCTGCCCAAACAATATATGTATATTTAATAGCATTTAAATCCGACAATGGAAGAAAATAAAATGCAGCTAAATATGTTAAATTTGTTCCACTTGACATTAAAATATTCAACGTACAAGCGATAGGTTGTCCATTAGTAGTAAATACTTTATAATGTTTATAAAAAGCAGCATATGACCCAAATACTATTGATTGTAATAAAAATCGAGTAATCATTATATCAAACATATCAGCTGGAATAAGTTTTAATGCAAATGTACAACAAGAAAATATTATATTTGCTGCTAACATGTACCAAATTCCCGAATGTTCACGTAGTCGATGCCATAAAATTTCAATAAAAGATAATGAAGATTTTTCAGATGTTTTGACTACATCAGCTGATATAGAATGAAGTGGTACTTGTTGTTCTTCAGTCTATGACAATGAATAGAATATTCTAATATTTATAAAACAAATAGATGTGAATTTACCATTATTGCAATTGAGAATAAATACCATGTATAAATCTTTCTATATATGTAAGCAAAATAATAAAAAAATAAAAAAAAAACCAAAAGAAAAAAGCCGATATTCTTCAAACAAACTGTTCGTTCTTATAGAAAGGGAAAAATATTTACTACCATCGTACTGTATATAGTGTATGACGATGAGAAAAAAAAACAGAACACATTACATCATCATGTATAGTATTGTTTTTTTCTTATCAAATCTAAGGGCATTTTCATTGCCCTTTGTTGAAAAATTTTTTATCTTCATTTCAAAACAATAAAAAATCTAAGGACAAACAACACTGTTGCTCTTATTTGTTTTACAATGTATTCCCAAAGAATTTTTCTTTTTGATTGTATCATTTGGTGATAGACGATTGGTTTATCTTGTAGTAGATGTTCCTGCATACATCTGTTTTAAATGATGAATGAGCATAAAAATGATTGAAAAACGAAATTGATAGTTTGTAGAACAGACAAGTTTTCAATATCGAGATAAGCAGATATTGGAAATAAGAGAATCTCCTCTCTGTTTTGTCTTATTAAGGTTTTTCTCATCAATCTTTTTGCTAAAATTATGCATGAGTGTTGAACATTTCGGTTTTCTTGACAAAAAGAAAAGACAACTATAAGGTTTTAATTTTAGAGTAAGATAAATGTAGGACTGTGAAGGAAGACTTTACACGATCTAATCGTGAGTGAATTATGAAGTTCTATTGCACAATGTTAAGTGCTAAATAGAGGTCGCAACAATTATTGAATTCGACGGTAGCCATGACGAATATGGCGTCCTCTATTGAGATCTCAACGATACTCAATAGAATGTGATAAATCATTACACTATTAAATAAACGAAATCACCATGAAATTTGTAGTCACTTTTTAAACTTTCAGATTCTTCCGTATTATATCAAGAATGTTGGGTGCATAAATATGTTTGTGAAACACGATCTAAAATGTACTGGAGTATAGAGCAGTGGCGTAACCAGAACATCGTCGGTGAGAGGGCAAAACCTCATTTTTCGAGGCGGTGCACCATTGTTTTCAAAGGCTCTCTGTACATCTATTTAGGATTTTTCCTCATCGGTGGGAGAGAAACTTCGAGTGAGAAGGCGCTGCCCCCTCTACCTCCCCCCTGGATACGCCACTAGTATAGAGGTAAAAATATGGATAGACAGACTGCATCTCAATAACGTCTCTTGATCATAGATGAACTATTTTCTTATTGCATTTCTGGAGGATTGAGTAAAAGGATGATGAAGAAATGTTCTCCAAAATCGATAGAATAAAATAATCTTCCTGAGATTGGTAATAGCAAATGCATAGTGTTTCCCATTTTAATCCTGCAGTGATTGTGCAAACAGCTGATTCTCTTTTATATAAGATGCGTATGTGCTCTTGTTCAATCCAATGAAATATCTATTAACAAACATGCTGATTAAATTACCATACAGAAGATACACACTTCCTTCCGTTATTTATATTGCTACATATCCTCTAGGGTTGTCTTAAATCTATTTTCTGTAATAAACAAATTTTAACTTTCAACATAGATATCAGCTCACAAATAATTGTATCTAATATACATCTTATGATCAACTTGTAATATGTCGTAACATTTTATACAATAAAAAGGAGCTATAATCTGTATCGATGCCAACACAACAAAAGGTTAACTTTTGAAGCCATGTCACCATGGTGTTTCTTTATTAAACATTATCCAGTAGTTAACGAATAATCAGTTGCACGGCTCATGTCACTCAATTTGGCTATACATTTACAAAGGTCAGTACCTTCTGTACAACAGGCAACAATTCAAGAAACATTATCCCTTGCTAAAAATCAAAGGCTTGGACCCAATGCAAAGTCTTGATAAATTCTAAAATAGAATTTATAAATGATATATATTTAACTCTTTATTTCAAATGAATACTTATCCACAGGCACGATCGCATAAATATCGTGCATACCACAGAAATCTTTTACTTTTTTTAACTGCACTATTTGCATGTCAATCAGTGGGTTAGATCAATTGTTTTCTTCGACACTTTTTTTATTGTAATTCAATGAAATACAAAACAAAATTTAGAACGAAAATAACTCATGCAGAAATATAAAATATCTTTTTTGATTTAATTCATTATGTAAACCAATTAAATTATTGATAACGAGCGTGAATATTGTCTCAACATGAGTCTGTCTATAAACACGAGTTCGATTGACATTTTCCAAAGAAATTAACTGATGTTTGACTCTTATAATCGCTGCTTCATAATGGCTATGATAATCATCTCTAAATTCATACTAATCAAGTAACAAATTGCTATTAACGACATGAAGTAGGGCAAGCAAAATGTAAATTTTTTTCTATTGTCTTTACATTATATCTTGTTTTCAAAGTCTTATCTTCATATACAACATTTTTTCTTGTGTTTCTGTCATCAAGCCTTTGGATGATAATGATTTTTTCAGAAGTAGTACATTTGAAGAACAAACCTTAACTAAACGTAGATAAGCAATCAGACCAAAAATAGATCACAAGTTCTGTCGAAGATAATTATCGCTCGTCCCAAGATATTTGAATAAGTGCTGTTACATGAGCTGATTTCATGAAAGAAGTAGACGTTTATAGCCATCGTGGAATTGTCTTTTGTTTCCACGTCATCTACACTTCATGTAAAATATTCAAGGTGAGTTGTATAGAAAATTTAAGAATACGATATCTAATAATTTGAATTATCATCTACATATTTTGCGATAGATAGAAGACATCACTCGTACTCAGATGTTTTGTGTACATGATCACTAACATCTATTCTTAAAAAGTAACATATTATAGAATTAGTAATTCTATAGAACAACTTCAATATAGTAGATTAAAGTATACACATTCGCATTTTTGGGTAGAAATCATTTTATGAATATGTTGCTCGACTTGTTGAATAAATCTATCGTTTGAGAATACTGTAAAATATCATCGATAGAATGAATTCTGAAAGATAAGAAACATCTAATTCAATAAATAATTCATTTCAAATCAAATGAAAACACTTTACATCATAATGCAATCTGTACATATAAAATCTGAATTCATAACCTGAATGATAGACCATATGCACTCAAACTTTTTGATTCCAAAAGCTCAAAAAACATTTTTTGACTAGTATATATGCTTCCTTTTATACTACCTGTTCACGAGAATGTCCATCTAATATTATTTTTATGGAGCTTATCTTTAAATCTGTAAAGTATGACTGTGAACTAGTGGGACTTTTTTAATACTTAATATATGGAAAATAAACTTGTTACTATGTAAGAATAGAGATAATTGGCTGTTTTAGTAATGTGTAGCTCCGACATTGATTTCAGAAATTCTTGTAGAAACTTCTGATTCTGCCTGAGTCGAAGTCAAGTGTAGAAGTTCGATGTAGAACTTCGCTGGATGAGCATTTTTCATGAGTATTAGTAGAAATATATTTATTTGTATGTTTTATGATATATATGTTACTAAAGTCAATAAAATCAGTCTTTTTAATGTGTTTTATTTCCGTTTGCAAAGTGTTCCGCAACAGCATTATACTTATCAGGATCAAACATGTAGGAGGTTTTTGATGATTATGTTCAATCAGAATCTTATTCTTGAACTTTTTTAAAAAAGAAAATTTTTCTATCGTAATCATGAACTACGAGAAGTTATTGAAATAAAGCAAAAAACCAAATCATATCACTTGACTAACTTGAACTCATAAATAATATGTATTTAATTGTATTACTTTATCAGTGTACTTGAAAAAAGAGTATGAGATACGTTCGAGGTCTTTAATATTGTTTTTTCCCATGAAATCCGATAAATATTATCTTATAGTCAACTCCAATCACGCAAGATATTTTCGATATAAATTAATTGTTATGATTGATGAGACGCCTCTCGAAGAACGACTGTGAAAAAGACAAAACAGGACAGTAGCATGAAATATTGAAAAATTTGAAGATAGATAAGATAAAAGATTAAGAATACAAACATCCCTCATATTAATTAAATTAACTTGTCGATTATACTTTCCTTATAATACTCTGCCAATAAAATGTTCGTCAAGTATGACAAAAATTCAGATATATTTCTTGAAAATTGAACTACAATTTTATTTCAAAACTATAAAGTATCTTTATCAACATCTCGAGGAGAAATACTGCGAATACTTTAGACACTTTTGATGTTATTTCATTTCAAGAACATAAAAGCAACCGTATCTTTATGATATTCACAAAAAACTTCGTATATTTTTTCTTGTCCTTGTCATAAATCTATTCGGCCTGGAATCTGAATTAACAACAAAACTTTTTCATCAACTAAAATAAGATAAAAATTATGAACAATCCTAAATAATTAAGGTAATTAGAAGAGTAAAAAAAGAACAAAATTATACCGATTACATGAAGATCATTAAGTAATTAAGTGCATGTCAAAGTCCAAAGCAGAAAAATATAAGATTTATATGATTCATCTGTTGTAATTCGTTTATATAGGTCAATATTTTTCAAATCATTATAATATACAAACAACAATGCACATTCAGATCCAATGGATTGTATATAAAAATTGCTACTTCATAATCTTCTTAAATTGGTATCTACATTTTAAATCTTTTTATCACTGCAAGAAAAATCAATTATATTAATTCACTCTTATCCGATACTCTTATTCAATTAGAGTCTAACTAGGAAATCAATAATCGTCTGTTATTTTGAACAAGATGAAAAATTAATTATATAATTAATGATGAAATGATTCAGAACGAATAGTTGAAGTATAAATATTACTATTGATGTACTAATTCATGATTGACACGATGAATAATCTAAAATAGACTTCAAATCAAATTGTCAATTGAATAGATGATTTATATTTTGAATGATTATAGATGAAATGTAGGTGAAAACTTATTAAAGAATTTATTCGATGAGAAAAATCCTCTTCATAAAAA